ATCTTGTTAGTCTTTAAAGTGCTACATTGTCCTGCATTTTGAAGGAGAAACAGTAGAGGACAGAGTCACAAAAGCCAAGGGACAACATGTTGAGAAGCATGTGGTCACTTGTGTCAAAGGCTGATCAAGGAGGATGAAGATGGATACTTGTTCTGAATTTCAGATTGGAAGAGTCTTGGAGACTTGGATGAGAATGGTTTTAGCTGAATGTTAGGGGCAGGAGCTGGACTGGAGAAGGTGAAGGGTGGAATTGGAGGTGCTATTGAGACAGCAATTAGACAGGGCATTCAGTGATCTTGGTAATGAAAGGGAGAAGGGAGGGGGAGTTGTAGTTGTAGAGTCAAGTGTGGGGGAGGGGATTTAATTGCAACAAGTAGGGCCAAATTATTTGGTTGCTTTTTTAAAATGGGAGAGACACTCTAGACTAGAGCATGCTTGTATTGTGAGTGGGAAGATCTAGAGGAAAGTGAGAGGTTAAGGAAAAGAGTAAGGGAGGGAGCTGAAAGTGGGTATGAAAGAGATCAAAAGCTGGGATTGGGGCTCTAGGGCAAGTGGATTGGTTAGAGAAGGAAAGCAGATGAGAAACTTCTGTGCCTGTGACCAGGGGAAAACAGGAGAGGATTGTAGCCGGGAGAAAGAGAATGTGAGCTATGGGGAGAGGGAACCTTACATTATGTTTTGTCACTTTTCTCTTAGAAGAAGTCAGTGAGATCCTGTGCAGAGAGAGAAATGGAGACAGGAGTAGAGGAGGACTTAAGGAATGAGTCAAAGGTGGTGAAGCTGCAGCTGCACTTGTGGGCGTGCGAGATTCAATTAAATTGGAGAACTAGTGTTGTGAACTAAAAGAGCAGAGAATGAATTGTTTACAGAGGAAGTCAGCCTGATCATAGGATTTTAAACCCAGATGCTCTGCAGGGCTAGAGCAGGGGCAAAGAAAGTGGATGTTGGGAGTGAGCCAGGTCTGGGAGTTGGCTCACTTGAGATGGGAGAGAGGGCAATAAAGTCAAGGCTGGGGCAGAGTGATGAGTGAAGAAAGGGAAGAGAGGATAAGAAGAAGAGGGCTGACAGAAGACAAGAAATCATTAACACAGAGGCCCTGGAGGTCACAAAAAGGCCTAGTTGACTGGTCATGGTAGAAGGGGGCAGATGACAGCGTTGAAGGGGATGGTTGGAATGGAAAACTCTGCAACAGAGAGACAATATAAACAACAGAAGGGGAAAAAACAAACAATGGTTCTGATAAGCTTCTATGAGAGTTCACGTCTCAGACTCTGAGAGAAGGCTACACTAGGAAAGATCTTGTTGGGATTTATTGTAATGAAACAGTTAGGGTGGGTTGTTTTTTTTTGGTTCCCTGCAGATAAGTATGGCATGTACTAAAAGTATTTACAGTCATCACCAGTATTGCACACTAGCTGCTTTTTTCTCATTGTGGTAACAAATCTTTCTATATTTGTCATAACTCAGATTGCTACTGCCAATTCATTCTACCTGGGATTTCTAGGTGTTATTCATCTCCTACTATAAAAATTCATTTGTGTTTTCATATTTCCTTACATATAGTTTGCTTAGCAAACACACTTCATAATATAGATATGCTGGATAAATACAAAAATTGCACAACAGAGAGGTCTGGGAAATATACACAAACACACATTATTTTTATATGTGTGTGTGATTGTTGATTTGACTTTAAAATATCCAGGAGCTCTGTTTAGAGGTTAGACAATAAAAGTAGTAATGAGGACCCCCCTACCCCAGTTTTATTATTGATTCTGTCACTGACTTCCTCATTTTATAACATAGGGGTGGCAATTCTTCTATCAGATGAATGAATCAGATACTGAGATTTAAAGTGTCAATTTCCATTATAGTTTTAAATCTTAGTTTGGTTTTAAGATCCTGGACAAAAATCTGTATGTGGGAAGAAAAGTAGCTAAAATGATATATCAGAAAATGTTCCCTATTTAAGGGAAAAAAGGTCATACAGTAAATATCTCCAGACGTTGTCCATTAAAATCAGTGTTGTGGAAACCTGCAACAAGTTTGCAAGTTTAAGGAAATGTATTACAGTTTGCAGGAATATCAAAGAGTTTTATCTGTACATTCTGAGATACATAGTAATTAGAGCTAATTTAAGAAATTCAACACCTTTAGAAGCACTGGTACTTAGACTCTCATTATTACAGGACAACTGCATTGCTTAGCCTATCCCTAATGGTAATAGGAAAAATGTATTGGGGTCTTCCTGAAACCACAGGTTTTAAAATGTATTTGGGTGATTTAATGGGAGATCAGCTTAGAAACACAAAATGTTTATCTACATGGCAGTGTATCTCTGTAGTTAAAGAGTATGTTTGTTTGTTTTTTGTGTGTATGTGAATTTTGGATAGAAACCTTCCCCCCCCCTCCCCATTTAGACACAAGAAACATGGAGTACTTAGATAAGAGGAGCAAGGCTTAGCATAGTACTGTCTTCAGCCATCAGTGAAAGAATAGAATTCTGAATTGTTTTATTCCCTTGCACACATCTATTCTTTCTCTGCTCCACTTGACAGAATTTGAAATAAGAAGTTTTGTAGCCATGTTGGTGCCAGAATATTTGAAGACAAAAGGTGACTTGAGTAAGGCAATATTTGCAGTATATATTCTCTTTCCTATCTGTGGTCAGTGCATAAAAATGTTAGAACGGCCATACTGGGTCAGACCAAAGGACCATCTAGCCCAGTACCCTGTCTTCCAACAGTGGCCAATGCCAGATGCTCCCGAGGGAGTGAACAGAACAGGGAATCAGCAATAATCCCTCTCCTGTCACCCATTCCCAGCCTCTGACGGAGGCTAGGGACACCATTCTTACCCATCCTGTCTAATAGTCATTGATGGATCTAACCTTCACAAATTTATTTAGTTCTTTCTTGAACCCTGTTCAAGTCCTGGTCTTCACAACCTCCTCTGGTAAAGAGTTCCACAGGCTGACCATGCACTGTGTGGAAAAAAATTCCTTTTGTTTGTGTTAAACCTGCTACTATTAATTTCATTTGGTGACCCCTAGTTCTTATGTTACTGGAACAAGTAAATAACTTTTCCTTATTCACTTTTCTCACACCAGTCATGATTTTACAGACCTCTAGCATAACCCTCCTTAGTCTCCTCTTTTCTAAGATGAAAAATCCAAGTCTTTTTAATCTCTCTTCGTATGGGGCTTGTTCCAAACCCCTCACCATTTTTGTTGACTTTTTCTGCACCTTTTCCAATACCAGTGTATCTTTTTTGAGATGAGGCAACCACATCTGTACACAGTATTCAAGATGTGGGAGTACCATGATTTTGTACAGAGGCAATAAGATGTTCTCTGTCTTATTCTCTATCCCTTTCTTAATGATTCCTAAAGTTCTGTTTGGGTTTTTTTTGTCTGCCGCTGCACATTAAGTGGATGTTTTCAGAGAACTCTCGACAATGACTCCAAGATCTCTCTCTTGAGTAGTTATAGCTAAATTAGTCCCCATCATATTGTATGTATAGTTGAGATTATTTTTTCCAATGTGCATTACTTAATATTTATCAACATTAAATTTCATTTGTCATTTTGTTGCCCAATCACTTAGTACAAATTCCCAGGGAGTTAAGGAGAGTTTTCTGTGCAAAACAATTGCACACATTTGAGTGTCTCTGGCTAATTTTAATGGGAACTATCCATTAAAATCCAGGGAATAGAAATGGAACCGTTCATGTGAGAAAAAACATTTGTATAGCTGTAACACACAACACTCTTACAGTTTATGATTCCTCCCTGTTCACAGCACTGTTACACCATTGTTTTTTGTGAACTTCTAAGTGCTCCTCTGACCCATTTGCCACAATCAGAACATGCTGATTCTTGGCAGACTGCCCTAAAACACAACACGGACTCATTTTGCTTGAGACATTTTTCTCACACAGTAGCACTGGATGAAAGAAACCTGGAATAATGCAATGCTCCTGGCAGCTGCCTCGTATACAATGATATCTGTAATGCTGCTATTATGGTTAATCCCTGGAGACTATTCAATCTAATACTGCAGCATCAGTGCTTTTATAATGTCATGTACTAGAGGTTTTTACCCTTGTCCCCTGTTGGGCCTCATTTTTTCTGCCCTCCCCTCACGAAGGTCAAAAATATGTAGGGCCTATATGTGGGTCCCTTACACTGAGGTGAGCACTTTTGGGTTTAGAGCCACTGATTTCAATGAGACTGCTTTTGTGTGTGTGCACTTACATGAAGTAGCACATCAGAGCATGCCCACATGACTACCGTTTTCTGAGCTATCCATCTTTCTATCCATCTATTATTGATTTTCTTTTAATATTCTGTATTCAAAGCAGTTGTAGTTTGTTGTCTTGATAAAGTATTATCTGTAGTACATGAATTTTTCCCCATCCAGCCCATTTGAAGCTTGATCCTGTGAACTGCTGAGTTCAGGACTCTTGGTAAATAGCATTATTGTTGAAGAAAAAGTCTGTTAAGGTCATAAATGATGATTTTGAATGGGCAGGCTTGAGGCTGTGAAAATCAAGGAAGATGACAGATCCTGTTTGCATCTCACGTTCTCCATCAGATAAAATAGTTTTGACGCAGCATACTGGACAGGAGAGAGATCCATTCTCAGGTTTGTCTGTCTATTTTTTTTAAATTATCCCTCTAGTGGAGACAGATTGGAAGCCTTTGCAGAAGGAGTGTGTGTAACCCCAGCAGTTGTTTGGCACATTGGTCTATAAGGTACAAAGACATCCACTGGTATTTTGTGCAGTGCTGTGCCAAAGGACCTCATCCTAAAATATTTTTTCTGTGTCAATACTTCTACTCTTTTCCAGAATGCTGTTAAACTGGGCACTCTTCCCTGGCTTGCCTCACACCTTGACCTTTTATCTGAATATGCTCTTATAAGAAAGTTAGAGAAGGTACTCACCTCTTGCAACATTAAGATGATGAAATGTATTATGAAAAACAAATCCTTACTTACCTTGGAGATGGATTCTTCCTGCAATAAATCCTCTGTGTGACACAAACCAGTGATGAATATTGCAACTGCAGCCCTGGCTTCTATAGTGCCACAGGGCAGCAATGAAATCCATCCCTCGGTACTTTTTATTTGAAGTGGGGGTAACATAAATCCTTCATCGTATCAAGGCTATTTTGAACAGAACTAGTCGAGAGATAAGATCAGTCTCATTTAATGAACTTTGCAGCCCCCTGCCTGAGAGGACCATGAAACACAGGCCTCTTGAGAGCATGCCTCCCTCCCACTCTGGCAGATACCACAGAGAGCATGACTTGGCAAGAGCTAGGAATTATTCTTTAAAATACACACTGGTATTATCCATTCTAATTTTCATTCCATGAAGCCTGAAAAATTCCACGCCACCATCTTGACTGGAATGGTGGCTGGAATGGTGCAACAAATCATTCTTGGTTTTGCATTAAAGGGTGACTTGTAGAAGTATGCTGTTCTTTTGAGTTGCAGCTCTAAGGATGTGTGCTTTATGATGACATATCTCATAGTCTGTTCTTTCAGGAAAAGAGCCGCAGGAATTGTCTGTTCTGTTAATGTTAGCTGACAAAAGGTATTAAACTGGTGCTAGTTTCACCATTTGGAGTTGTTATAACTCTATTATAGATGATTGTTTGAATTATTACATTTCATTTTCAGAGAAAATATTTCATATAGTTGTTTGATGACAGATGTAGACCCCAATCTTGGTTTTCATTAAATCCATCTATAGTGCTAATATACCATACGTGACACTCAGCTTAAGTGGTATTTATAACATCACTGATTACTTTAACCTTCCTTTGCTGTCATACTTCAAACTCCAAGTAGCTAAAGCCACAGGCAGTGTTTTAGGTCTATGCTTTTATAGTTCAGATTTTAAAGGGTTTTTTTTTTTTTACTGTAGCTAACCTTAGCCAAATTCTATAAATATAAAAAACTTGCTTGAACCCCTAATTGCTGTAGCCTTTTTTTTTTTATAGAGCCCTATTTCAATTTATTTTAAAAAGACTGATCTGTTAAACATTGGAAGGAGTTTTTAATGTGTTTTTTTTTAAATAGACCTTTTAAAAACAACTCATAGTATGTATATATATACAGAGATCTAGTCTTTGTGCATGCATGAATATGTGTATGTATAACAACTCCCATGGAAGTTACCTGTAAATGAAGTTTTTATATATGTGCTGTAAGATCGCGATCCTGAAGACATGCATTTGCTTAAAGTTAAGCATATATTTAAAAGCTTGCAAGATTGGGTCTAACTCCATAAAGGCTGATCAGGCAGTACTGTTTCTTTTTAGCAAATAGTCTTTTGAAATCACAAACAAATATTACACTCACATTCTCTAGTTCTCTGTTTGTATTTTAGTATTCTAACCAGATGCTAATGTGTGCGTGAACACAAACACACACTGCTAATGAATACGGTGTACACAAGACACTGATGGAAATATTGAAAATGGGTTAAAATCTTATTTTTAGCTTGTCGGAGGTGTACACAAAGCCTTCCATGTGGTTAAAATTCTTTCAGTTGTATCAGAACTCCACTCTTTGTTCACTCCATTAGCAAATCTCCATGAAGCAGCTTACCATAAACAGTGACTATGTTGCTAGTGTTCTGAGGCTCAGAAATACACTGTAAACACCTGCTTAGTGCCATTAACATGGACCTCTGTAGAATCCCCAAAATGTCTGACTACAAAGAACAAATCTCTGGAGAGGCTAAGGTTTATTTATCTGTAGCTATCAAATTCTGCCTGTGTTCAGTGCACAGAACTGCCACTTAGGTGGGGAGGAGGGGAGGTTGTGTAATTTAAAGGAGCAAAGTTTGAGTTGTTACCCACACTTCTGTGAGTGGTCTCAGTCTTGATGAGTATTTGCCAATAAGGTCCCCTTCTTCCATTAAGTTATTGTGTATTTGTAAGAGATTTCATGGATCCAACATAAAGAGCAGGAGGCAAAAAGGAACAGAGACTGTGTGAACATTATAGGACTTTGTCAAAAGAGCAAATTTCTCATATTATTTTCTTGAAATGCTAAATCTAGTAGAAAATACCACAAGGTATTTCTGGATGTATACATTTTTAAACACCATTGGGTCTGCTGCATTGAGGGACCTTCTACTTCATTCACCAATTACTTACTTTTTTGGAATCTAAATGATTCTTCTGCACATTATTGGTGGATTCTTTCACAGACAGAAAAAGGGTGGCTTGCTCATCAGTAGATATATTGGCATTGGAAAAGGTGCAAAAAAGGGCAACAAAAATTATTAGGGGTTTGGAACAGGCCCCATAGAAAGAGAGATTAAAAAGACTGGTACTTTTCATCTTAGAAAAGAGGAGATTGGAGAGGCAGGGTGTGTGTGGATATGATAGAGGTTTATAAAATCATGACTGGTGTGGAGAAAGTGAATAAGTAAAAGTTATTTACTTGTGCCAATAACATAAGACCTAGGGGTCACCAAATGAAATAAATAGGCAGCAGATTTAAAACAAACAAAAGGAAGTTTTTTTTCCCACACAGTGCACATTTGGCCTGTGGAACTCTTTGCCAGAGGAGGTTGTGAAGACCAGGACTTGAACAGGGTTCAAGAAAGAACTAGATAAATTGGTGGAGGTTGGGTCCATCAATGGCTATTAGGCAGGAAGGGTAGGAATGGTGTCTCTGGCCTTTGTGAGAGACTGGGATGGCTGACAAGAGAGGGATTACCTGATGATTCCCTGTTCTGTTCACTCCCTCGGGAGCATCTGGCATTGGCCACTGCTGGAAGACAGGATACTGGGCTAGATGGACCTTTGGTCTGACCCAGTATGGTCATTCTTATGCTTAGTAGCAGAGCAGCATCAGCTCTCTGGGTTTTCCCCACACCTCCTGATCTCCCAAATGAAGCTATCAACCAGAGAAGTGCTGAGGGCCAGATTAGATTAGGCTCCTTTCAAGAAAGTGAGGCATTTTTATAAATCCCACTAGGGGCCTAACCATCTTTGCAAATTTGGCCTTGCAAGCTTTCATGCTAAAACCCCTCTATGGCTCATCTGAGAGAGGACCTATCCACATTAGGACATCAGTGAAGGGTCTCCCTGAAGATGTGAAGTGGAATCCTCCAAAGTCGACCCAGAATGGCCATGTACTAGTATTGCACTTCTGGGTGGAGTCAGAAGATTAGATACCTCTCGGGTACACCTGTGTAGCCGCATTGACTTTAGCTGTGATACACTGATTTGTTTTACACCTCTATGAGATGTATGTGGATTAATGAAAGCCAGATTTGAAGTTTCTTAGCTTCAGCTAATGGAGATAGCAGAAATGTCCAATTTTATTATATCGGGAAAATATTTTTATTAATGCTTGAAGAACTTAATAGCTTAACCCATTTCACTCAAAAATCATAATTTCACTCTTTAGTTGAGCATCAGCTTGGACAATGTTAGTCCAATAGGATCTTTGGGTTTTTTTTGTTTTTAAGAAAGTGATAACTTAGGCTGTGTCTAGACTACATCCCTCTTTCGACAGAGGGATGTAAATTAGACACTTCGAAATGGCAAATGAAGCAGGATTTAAATATCCTGCACTTCATTTGCATAATCACATAGTGGCGCTCTTTCGAACAAGTGCCATTTTGAAAGTAAAACCGTGGGCCAGACGTGGTTCTGTCGAAAACAGCACCATGACTGCACCGCGATTTTACTTTTGAAATGGCACTTGTTCGAAAGAGCGCCATTACACGATTATTCAAATGAAGCAAGGGATATTTAAATCCCTGCTTCATTTGCAGTTTCAAAGTGTCTAATTTACATCCCTCTGTCGAAAGAGGGATGTAGTCTAGACACATCCTAAGTTATCACTTTCTTAAAAACAAAAAAAACCCAAAGATCCTATTGGACTAACATTGTCCAAGCTGATGCTCAACTAAAGAGTGAAATTATTATTTTTGAGTGAAATGGGTTAAGCTATTAAGTTCTTCAAGCATTAATAAAAATATTTTCCCGATATAATAAAATTGGACATTTCTGCTATCTCCATTAGCTGAAGCTAAGAAACTTCAAATCTGGCTTTCATTAATCCACATACATCTCATAGAGGTGTAAAACAAATCAGTGTATCACAGCTAAAGTCAATGCGGCTACACAGGTGTACCCGAGAGGTATCTAATCTTCTGACTCCACCCAGAAGTGCAATACTAGTACATGGCCATTCTGGGTCGACTTTGGAGGATTCCACTTCACATCTTCAGGGAGACCCTTCACTGATGTCCTAATGTGGATAGGTCCTCTCTCAGATGAGCCATAGAGGGGCTTTAGCATGAAAGCTTGCAAGGCCAAATTTGCAAAGATGGTTAGGCCCCTAGTGGGATTTATAAAAATGCCTCACTTTCTTGAAAGGAGCCTAATCTAATCTGGCCCTCAGCACTTCTCTGGTTGATAGCTTCATTTGGGAGATCAGGAGGTGTGGGGAAAACCCAGAGAGCTGATGCTGCTCTGCTACTAAGCATAAGAATGACCATACTGGGTCAGACCAAAGGTCCATCTAGCCCAGTATCCTGCCTTCCAGCAGTGGCCAATGCCAGATGCTCCCGAGGGAGTGAACAGAACAGGTAGTCACAACCATATATACCAAAGGATACAATTTTAAAAAATGAGCACATATGAAAAGGACAAATCAATGTTCTGAAATTTGATTTGTCCTTTTCATATGTGCTCATTTTTTTTAATTGTATCCTTTGGTATATATGGTTGTGACTATTTTCTTCCACTACTTGATCTGAGGAAGTGGGTCTGGCCCACGAAAGCTCATCATCTAATAAACCATCTTGTTAGTCTTTAAAGTGCTACATAGTCCTGATTTTGCTTCAGCTACACCAGACTAACACGGCTACATTTCTATTACTTGTCATCTAAAGCTTCCAAAGAGGAGCACACTCATTCAGTGTGTCCCCTTGTCATGTTTTCTGTTTCAGCTTCTAGTGCCAGAGACTCCATAAAGTTCACTGGGGATTTTGCTATGGCTGTTGATTTTCCATGGAAGGTATTCAGATACAATGATGATGGGCAGCAGTAAAAAAAACCCTGAGGCTAGTCAGCCTGTTAAAATGATTTTTCATCTTTATTTAATTTCTGACCA